ACTGTGGAACAGATATCTTCATGAGTTTCTTCTGATATTTCTTCAAATATTAGGATTTTAGATAAATCGAAAAAATGGATGCAAAATTGGGCGTGGTCTCTTTTTCCAGCATAAAAACCTAAATCGGTGTAGAACGAACATTAAAAAAAAAACATCCAAATAGTTCCAGCCAGCCTCGACTGATTCAATTACCAACCAACAACAATTTCTTTATATATAGATACAAAAGTAGGCGTGGTCAGTTCCTCAGTCCCCAAATAAATACTTAGGATTAAAGGGAAAGTCTACAGTATGTCGTGTAATAATTTTAAAACCGATATCTTCATTATTTGGCAAATATAAGGATTTTAGATAAATCGAAATAGTGGGCGTATTCAATATTTTTTCTTTAAAAACCTAACTCGGGGTATGACTAATGTGACCATCTATATTTTTCGTCAGAGCGGGACGCCTGCGGAATTTTGTAAAAAAAAAATTATGCATTTAAAAACAAATTTTATTCAAAAACGGAGAGAATACGTATAAATCTAATTTATGAAATTAATCTTATGTCTAAGTATTTGTTTTATATTTGTCAGCAGAGCAAATTAGTTTTAAAATATCGGGTCTAGTTTTCAAGTAGGATTGGAGCTGATTACATTGTTTGTTGATGTTAGTCTTAGTAATTAAAATAGCTTTAAAAACTGTCACACTTAACTGCGTTTTTTCACTTGTCCATATTTTATTCATTAGGGAAAAAACTCTTTCGACAGGTGCGTTACTTCCAGGCATACATAAAACATACTCAATAATTGTGCGAAAGTTTGTGCAGTTGAGATTATTAGCACGGTCTTCAGTAGCAACACTCTCATCGTTCCAGCTTTTGATTTTTTCAACTGTGACGTAACTGGAAATAAGCGAAAACTCATCGAACACCTCCGTATCTTGGCTACGGCTAAGAAATCTTTGTGTGATCAGCAAATCCGTCACATTCTGTACGTCTTCCCAAGTAGGGACTTTTCTCAAATTTGACCATTCAAATACTGCTAGTTGTGCATTGAACTGGCACCACTGTTCCAAGTATTCTTTACTTGTCTTATAAAAATCCGCTGCCGCAGTTTTCACATTCTGCTCATCAACAGCAATGTCAGTTTTTTGTAATTTTACCAGTAGATTGCGGACGGAATGAGGAAGGAAAATCGAATTCTCTTTAAGTTCTAAGTTATCTCGGAGACGATTATTTTAATTCCCAGACTCTATTGCGGACACGTTTTGTCCCTCGATTTTCAACACGGCTTGATGAAAAATCGCTGTCTGTGCGTGCAAAAAATATAATCACAATTCAGAGCTGGGATTTTCGAAAAACGTTTTTAAAATAGTAGGACATTTATCTATGCTCAGAAAATAGGTTTTCAAAGGCTGAAACATTTTTAAAATTCTCTCAAGCGACGGCATTAAAGCAAGTCACCTTGTTTTACTGTAGCCCAACAGTTTCTGATACTCTGTGTCGGTGGAATCACAGAACTCTTTCAGAACTTCTACCCGAATGCTGTAGATGTAGAAGAATGAATAAATTTTCACAATGATGCATTCGAAGTCAACAGGGAGACAATCTGCGGCTGTTTTGATAGCATTATGAATTATATGGGCTCCACACCCAATCCCAATGAGCTGCCTTCCGACGGATAGGTTCAATTTCGCGTAAACATTATTTACCCCTTTTCTATTCTTTCCTCCGAAATTGCAGTTTGTATTGTCTGCACAAAATGCCACAATTTTCTTATTCAAATCATTGCAAGATAATACTTCTTTAAAATAATCCACAATTATATCAGATGATTCGCCTGGCTGCTTTTGAAACTCTAAAGTCCTGACTCTCACGCCTTCGTGTGGTACAAAATAGCGAACTAAAACAGGGAATAATTTTATTGAGCCATGATTGGAAGCATCGGTTAATAAAGATATGCAGTGGGCTTCGTGAAGGTGTTCTTTCAATTCGTCCATCGCCATAGGTGCCAGCACGTTTACAACTATAGCTTGAGATTTTGTACGGGCACATCTAAATTTTTGCTCAAAACATGTTTGTATTAGATTTGAAGCACAGTCATTCGAACGAAAACTGTGGTTTTCTTGCACTGTGTGGTACGCCCACGCACCCTCCGCTGCAGCTATATCCAAATCTTTGGAAGTCGCCAAATTTGTTCTTTTAAAAAAAGAAAGCATTGACGAGCTTGAAGCGGCAGCTTGACAGAAAGCTTGTGTTTTTCCGATTTTAAATGCTTCTCAATATCACTGGCACCACCATGTCCAACACTAAAATCAGTACGACATTTTTCACACGTAACGTCTGATTCACCACTTCTTTGTTTTATAAATGGATACTTATTTTGCAAAGAAATGTTAAAAGTACACTTGCGTTTAGGCATTATTGTAATGTTACAATCACTGACATTGAAAATAAATTGTTTGACTTTGCTCGCCTTCTCCGACTCCGCGATGAAAAGATACAAGAACAATTAAGAGCGTCTATGCTTAGGGTACTGACAGAGTGACAGAAACTTTTTCTGTTTTTATAAGCATTTTTAATTTGGTGATTTCCCTTGTTATGCTGGAGTTAATGTCAACGCCGTCGACGACGCCGAAAAAGTTGAAACAGATTGAACTTTTTCGGCGTCGAATTTCTTACGGCGTTAAGATTAACTGCTCTCATAAAATTTCATACGATTCAATTTTTTTGACATTTGACGCCGTCGACGACGTCGACATTAACTCCAGCATTAGCATTACAAAATCTTTCGAGTTAATTTTAATGTTATTGTTGCTTGAAAAAAACTATGCAAATAAATTATATGTTCACGGGGAAAAAAAATAACTCATGTATTTTTCATCAATATCAATATCCAGTATTTTCGAAAGCGGGACATTTTTGCTCTCGCTGGGGACAGCGGGACAGATAACCTCAAAGCGGGACTGTCCTGCCCAAAGCGGGACGTATGGTCACGTTAGGTATGACGAACGTTTGTACAAAAACTTATGCAAATCGGTCCAGCCGTTCTCAACTGATTCCATTACCAACGAATAACAATTGATTTATATATATATAGACTGTATTGTTGTGCCCTTTCATTTGATAACCATATTGATGGGATTGATAAAACCTACGTTATCCGCCAATTTGGTATTGGCCGCCATCTTGGATTTCAATTTTATATATTATATTGTATTCTGCTTTTTGAGCCCTTTCATTTGATACCCGTATTGATGGGATTGATAAAACCTACGTTACCAAAAAAGACTACACATCATATTAGACTACACATCATATTAGAATTCAATTCAATTCAAAAAAAAAAAAAACGCTACAAATGTACATTCCAAAATAGTAAGTCAAAATGGAAAAAATCATTCAAAATAAAACATTACTATTGTACACCACAAAAGTCAAAATGAAAATTTTCAAATTTCACATTTTTACGCTATTTTTTGGATTTTATCTATTTCTTCCAAGAGGCAATTCCGATTTTGTGTGAATCGTTAAAATCAGATCAGCGGTTCTTGAGTTATAAGCGTAGCAATTATCACAACTTTATTTGATATATATAGGTAAATTATAAGTTTGCGCGGTCAGTTCCTTAGCTCCCAAATAAATCCCTAGGGTTGGAGGGAAAGTCAACAGTATCTCGTGTAATAATTTTCAAACCGATATCTTCATTATCTGGCGAGTATAAAGATTTTAGATAAATCAAGATTGTGGTCTTAAAAGTAGGCGCGGTCAATATTTTTTCTTTAAAAACCTAACTCGGGGTATGATGAACGTTTATATATATATATATATATATATATATATATATATATATATATATATATATATATATATATATATATATATATATATATATATATATATATATATTATATATATATATATATATATATATATATATATATATATATATATATATATATATATATATATATTGGGTTGGAGGGAGAGAGTCAAGATTAGGTCGTATACTAAACCGATGACACCTTATTTATTATAGCTAAATTCAATGTAGAATTTAGAATTTCGATTCTGAGGACGAATACTTCAACATATAGAAAATATATATACAAATGTATATACAACATGTTCTTCATTCGCCATAAATACTGTGCACTCTAAATAAATAAGTTGAAACGAATACAACTATAAACCACAAAACAAGGAAAACAGCAATAAGCATGAAAACCGCCAAATTTGTAGACGATAAGTCTGTTAGTTTGACGATAGTTGCAAGCCAACATTAGATTAGACTTTTTAAAGAGAAAAGCTATGTTAGATTTTTAAAAATATGCAGTACACGCTAGTGCTATGTGCCAGCAATGAGGTCCGGGTTAGCTAGTTTACTATAGAAAACAAAACGTTATTCAAAAATAACCACATGCTAAACTTCGTCACAATATAAATATTACAAGTGGAATCAACTGCAATAGGAGGCACACTTTTGGGATGCTGCACATCAAAAAGAATTTCAAAAGTGATACCCAAAATGCAGCATATTGTTACAGGCACCTCACACAAAATTAGAATTAAGTCAGTGCAATATTTATATCGGATGACGATATTGAAGTTCTATCATAGTTTAAGTAAACTTGACACTAGTTTTGCAGCTATTCATGTAAGCGATTATTCTTAATGAAATTTGTGCTAGTTTATTAATCGATAAATTACTGCGAAATTAACGTTACATAAAAATATTTTGAAATTCACTGTGAAAATTTAATTTTATCGAATTGCAAAATATTGGAAAATTCAAATCAATTATAATAATAAGGACAACATGCCTGAAAAATATATGTTTTTATTTAAAAACGGAAAACAACTTTGTGCTTGCCAAATCTGTGTATTTGACGGAAGAAGACTCGGCTTCAGAGAGACATTAAATCTTGTTAAGTTCAAGTTCACCTGTTTATTGTATCGTTATGTGACATTTATTTTAATTTTCGTTTAAGTTACACATTTTTAGTTAAATACTTACATCTGAAAACGTCATATATCAATGAATAAACTTTTCTCATTTCATATTCATTTGAAAATCTTACTTTGCCTGGTGGTTTCTTTAAAAGTTTGGCGGCATTAGTGATATCATCCAAAGTCCAAACAATACTAACTTTAGTCTTTCTTTTACTAAGGGCATGTTGACATTTTTTCTTGTGCTCTTCTAATAAGTTGTTGCATGGACTCGAAGCCGGCGAAAAATGTTGAATGTGAGTAGCGTCGAATATAGGTTTCTCTTTGTGTCTGATAAGTTCATCGTAATTTCTGCAAAGAATTAACAAATATCATTGGGGGATATCGTAATTATTTCAGTAAGGGGCAAAAATCGGTAATTCTTGTAAAAAAATGATTATATCTGCATTATGACCGACTTCTTTCAATAAATTAATATATGTGTACTGCCTGTACAGTATGAAATTTTACATACACTTGCATCAATGCTTAGAACATATTTCCGGTATTTTGGAGGCTTCAAGGGACAAAGCGATATTAATTTCAAATATAAATAAACACCCATGTTGAAACTGATAATATCGATTCATGTACAGGTCTAAGTGTTTTGAAGGTTCTGATCTCATTATTCAGCCATATGGTTTTAATTTCATAGTTATAAACTTAAAGGATAAACTTATCTATCAACAAATATCTTAGCAACAGTTTTTAATCAACTTTTCTGTAATTTGGAATTTTATATTCATAACGTTGAGAAGACCATGCTGCTAAAATTTAATTTTGTCCACCTCATGACTGAGCACAAAGAGAATTTAGTTCAGCCAAACTTATTTCATTTTTATAGCTTCCGTCATATGATGGGGATACATTATCTTTTTATCCAGTTTCATACATTATTTTGTTATTCAGAGTAGCATTCTATGTTGAATCAAAAAATGTAAGTCTGTTCGCCCATCCATTAAAATTAGGATAGAGGACGTAATATTTGAGATAGATATTTGAAACTTTGAACAGATATTTACATATATTATTTTAAGATAATTGGTATTGAGCAAGGGAAATGTCTATCCCCGTTTAGATGCAGCCCATATTTAATGCTACTTTCTGCCAGAATTTGAGCTCTTGTTCTTTATTGGTAATATATATTTACGACATTCTTCCCCGGAAATATTTCAAATTTGGTATTCGAAGTTCAACACGGGATTCTACAGCCTAAGACAGAAAATTGTCTATGCTGGTCCACGTCTTCGCATAGCTCCGATGTAACGGTACATACCAATATATGATATTTTGATGATTTTAGCTACATTATTCACCGTTTATTTCAACTTTTCGAATTTGAATATGGTAATGGCTTATGACAAACAATGTCTATGTAGGTCCATAGACTCCAATAAAACGGCTACATTCGGTATTTCTAACATTTAAACAGAATTTTTTAAGGATTTAATTTTTTGAAAATTTCCAAATTCGTTCCAAATGGTGGAGGGTATTCAAAGTTCGGCCCGGCCGAAATAACTGCGTTTTAACTTGTTTTTATATCAATTTGTATGCGATCTTATTTTGTTTGTCATTTAGACTTATTGAATCAAAAACAAGAAAAAACTTGTATAATCAATACCCAAAAGTGGACTTTCATTAACAAAAGATTCATATCCTCGAAATGTTTCTGTCTTAGGCTGTAGAATCCCGTGTTGAACTTCGAATACCAAATTTGAAATATTTCCGGGGAAGAATGTCGTAAATATATATATATATATATATATATATATATATATATATATATATATATATATAGTTTTAATGTCATATTACCAGTGGTTGTTCTAGACAAATGATACGAAAATGTGCACGTTATCGGTCCTTCCACACCCAAAGTGAAATATACTATATTTAAAACAATTATTCATATCATTATTACTTGAAATTCGACATGTACCGACCGTGTGTAATTTAAATGAAGGATTCCTTTAATTTTGAAACACGTATAATAGGAATTAAATTTAGCACAATGGATAAAATATTGGTAGCGTCCAAATAACGATACCTCCCACTATCTAAAGGCTTTAAATGCATTCTACAAATAATTTCACCGATATTTTAAGTTTAAAATGGAACTCTTTCGTATATTGAATCCAGTAGTGCGACATTAGTAACATAATTATCGATAACATAAATTGTCCACTTGATTATATTTTCGGTTATTAACGAACTTTGTTGGTAAGTTAGTGATAAAAGTATTATCGACAGGTCGCAATGTTACATGGTTTTAATACGGCAATTTAATAAATTACATAAATATTCTCTTGTGAAATATACTTACTGGCCACATTCCAAAGCTTCGTTTACTGCTTTTTGTACATCTAATAACATGTAGTACATCTTGTCCTGCCATTCTGTGTCACTGGGTAAATATATTTTTGCCACATTTACACGGTTGGATACAAGCTCTTCAAAAATTTTAGGATATACCGAAAATATATCGGCCAGACTAAAAAAAAACAAGTTATTACTCATAATGTCTCTTAGCAGTTGCAAGCAGACCGATTTCAGCGAGGTTAATATTCCAACTAAACTTACTCTAGGGACAATAACTATGCCATGACCCGTCATTCGTGCTTCACACCAATTTAATTCCTTCCAGTGGAACAAATACATTGTACGAACTATTTTATCATGCAATCATCAATTCATATATCACCTATCACTTATTGAATCGAAACCAAACAAGCATGACTATTTATTGATTGCCATTAAAATATATTGTATTATGTAAATGTGTTCTACAAAGGTAATTTTGTATTTGTATAATATTCCATGCCTTCTTAACAGGTTTTCTATATATAATAAATTGAATAGAGTTATGTTCTGCTTTTTCGGTATAACAGTAATTGCTCCAATAATGAAACATGAGACAAATGTGCACTATAAGGATTTTAATATGTTATAGTAAAAATTAAAAATAACATCATACAAACACAACTTAAAAAAATGAAACAGTCTAGGGGAAGCTACGCACTAAGTTCACAGATTTGTTGTCTAAATAAAAATGTCCGAGGTAGAAACATCCAGATTCGACTTTAAACTGGTTCCATTCGTAAAGACTATACATATTCAATTTATTGGTTTAAATTGAAGTTATAAATCTTTAAAGTGGGTCAATTCGCCGTAAAAATTTGTAAATATGTTACAAACACTAAAAGTGAATTGTATATATATATATATATATATATATATATATATATATATATAAGCTGGCCCAGTCCGCGTTGCCGGCCCAAAGTTTTAATCTTTAATCTTTAAGCATAATAATTAACAAATCTGGCTAACATAAGTGGCACAATTTTTAGTATAAATGATGACTCGATTAAATAGAAATCAATACGTCTTTAAAGTTGAAAGTTGAACCTATTTTCCAGTAAGAGGTTTTAGTTTTAGAGTTAAAAACCTAAATAATATAGCATATATATTAAAAAGTATACATTGACATTGAAATATTTCCGCGAAGAGGTCTTTTACCAGAAGCCAGATGCCAAATAAGGGCAAAAACAATTGAAAAATGTGACCAAGACCCTTGTAATAGCTAAAATCACCGGATACCTTCACACAACAGTTATAATGAAGCATGGTCCTATACTTATAATTATTTGAAAGAATTTGTTTTTATACCCTCCACCAAAAAAAGTATGGAGGGTATATTAAGTTCGTCATTCCGTTTGTAACTCATCGAAATAATCATTTTAGACCCAACAAAGCGTAAAATTCTAAGACGATTTAGCCCTGTCCGTCAGTCTGTCCGTCTGTTGTAATCACGCTACAGTCTAAACGAATTAAGATAGGAAGCTAAAATTTTGTACAGATCTCTCTTTTGTCCGCAGGCAGGTCAAGTTCGAAGATGGGCTATATCGGTCCACGATATCGTATAGCCCTCATATAACGGTACCCCCGATATTCGATATTTTGATGATCTTAGCCATATTTTTCAATGGAATTGTCTGAAAATCCACACAAGTAGTTCCGTTTGGGTATTTTATACCTCGGTAGAGAATTATCTGTATAGGTCTACGATATCGTATATCCCCCATATAACTGTACCCCCCGATATTCGGTATTTTGATGTTGTTAGACACACTTTTCATCGGAATTGTCTGAAAATCCACACAAGGAGTTCCTTGTGGGTACTTTATACCTCGGCAGAGAATTATCTATATAGGTCCACGATATCGTATAGCCCTCATATAACGGTACCCCCGATATTCGGTATTTTGATGTTTTTAGCCATATTTTTCAACGGAATGGTCACCAGGGGTTCTTTGTGAGCACTTTACCCCCGACAGAGAATTCTCTATATAGGTTAACGATAACGTATAGCTCCCATATAACGATTGCCCGCGATATTCGGTATTTTGATGATTTTAGCCACATTTACCAATCGTATTGTTTGAAAGTCCACACACGGAGTTCTTTGTGAGCACTTTACCCCTGAAACGGAATTGTCTATATAGGTCCACAATATCGTATATCCTCCATATAACGGTACTCCCCTATATTCGGTATTTTGATGATTTTAGCCACTTTTTCCAATGGAATTATCTGAAAATCCACACAAGGAATTTCTTGTGAGTACTTTTTACGCAGACATAGATTTGTCTTTATAGATCCACAATATCGTATATCCCCCCATATCGGCACATTCCTATAATAGATATTATAAAGATTTTAAAAGAATTTTTAATGGACTTTATTTTTTTTTTGAACAATTTCTAATTCGTTCCAAATGGTGGAGGGTATTGAAAGTTCGGCCCGGCCGAACTTACTGCTTTTTTACTTGTTCTTTCTAAAATCTCAAATTACCAACATTTGAGGAATTTGAAAGGGGCTATATCACAATGTAGATCAACCTGATACATTTTTTATACAAGTGATTCCTTATGTAACCCCTAGGACTGTATCAAATTTAAAACATTATCGTAACTTTTGCGGAGTCTAGGGCGAAATATTTGCGGCCCTTTGTATATGGTTAAGCTATATAAAAGGGATTCTAAAAAAGTTAGATCCGGAAACCCCTCTTTTGGGATTTTTATATACCAACCGAAAAAATTTTCCTAACCCCAAGATTGTCTGCGGCGCAGACGATAGCACATAGTGCCCGTATAACGTTATCTATGATATATGGTTACTTTTAAGAGTTCGGAAGTATTTTCCGAGTATATGAATCCTATATTATACCCTCCACCTTGGAAAGGAGGGTATATTAACTTTGTCATTCTGTTCGTAACATCCTTAAATATTCGTCGTAGACCCCATAAAGTATATATATTCATAATCAGCATAAAATTCTAAGTCGATTTAACGATGTCCGTCTGTCTCTCTGTTGAAATCACGATACCGCCCACATTATTTGACGTAGAGAGCCAAAATTTAGCAGAGCAATTTTTATTGTGTCTAGGATGGTTGGTATTGAAAATGAGATATATCGGTCCACGTTCTGGTATAGTCCCCATATAACGGTACCTCCCGATATTCGGTATTTTGATGGTTATTGCCACATTTTTTCACGGATTTGTCTGAAAATTGGTATTTGTAGGTCATAACAGGTCCCTGTACGTATGGCAAAACATTGCATGGATAAGTCCACGTTGTGGTATAGCCCCCATATAAAGGTACCTCCCGATATTCGGTATTTTGATAATTTTTGCCACATTTTTTCACGGATTTGTCTAAAAATTGGTATTTGTTGGTCATAATGGGTTCCAGCTCCGGTAGCGAAACATTGCACGTATGGGTCCACGATTTGGTATAGCCCCCATATGACGGTACCTCTTGATATTCGGTATTTTTATTGTTTTTGCCACATCTTTTCATTGATTTGTCTAAGAATTGGTATTTGTAGGTCATAATGGGTCCTAGTTCGTGTGGCGAAACATTGTATGTATAGGTCCACGTTTTGGTATAGCCGCCATATAACGGTACCTCCCCGATATTCGGCATTTTAATGGTTTTTGCCACGTTTCTTCTAATGTTTCCTTTACCCTAAGGTGGAGGGTGTTAAAAGTTTGGCGCGGCCGAACTTCATGTTTTTTTACTTGTTTCAATTCACTCCACTATTTTGTGCCTCTTCATATTCGGTATTTCACTGATTGAAGTCCCAATGAATTTTGCATTTTGAGTTCTCATTGAATGGATTATTTCTGCGGTGGGGAGAGCCAAGATTACGTCGTATACTAACTGTGGAACAGATATCTTCATGATTTTCTTCTGATATTTCTTCAAATATTAGGATTTTAGATAAATCAAAAAATGGGTGCAAAATTAGGCGTGGTCTCTTTTTCCTGCATAAAAACCTAAATAGGTGTAGAACGAACATTAAAAAAAATATCCAAATATTTCCAGCCGGCCTCAACTGATTCAATTATATAGATTAAAAAGTAGGCGTGGTCAGTTCCTCAGTCCCCAAATAAATACTTAGGATTAGAGGGAAAGTCTACAGTATGTCGTGTAATAATTTTAAAACCGATATCTTCATTATTTGGCAAATATAAGGATTTTAGATAAATCGAAATATTTTTCCTTTAACAACCTAACTCGGGGTATGACGAACGTTTGTTCAATCATTATACAAATCGGTCCAGCCGTTCTCAACTGATTCCATTACCAACGAACAACAATTGATTTTTATTTATATAGATTGTATTCTGCTTGTTGAGCCCTTTCATTTGATACCCATATCGATGGGATTGATAAAACCTATGTTATCCGCCAATTTGGTAGCGGCCGCCATCTTGGATTTCAATGTTTTATATTATATTGTATTCTGATTTTTGAGTCCTTTCATTTGATACCCATATTGATGGGATTCATAAAACCTACGTTATCCGCCATTTTGTAGCGGCCGCCACCTTTATAATGATAATGAAACCTAGGTATTCCCTGCCTTACCCCCTGGTAAACATTACCATCGTTCTCCACTAATAAACAAACGTTGTTTTTATAAAAACAACAATAAAGGGATAAAGCCAGACCATTTTGCAACAACAAAATACTACGGTATCCCGAACAAACAAGCCACACTGTTCTATTAATAGACAAGGCACGGTCGACGAAGGGGTTTTTGTTGTAACAGACAAAACCAACTTACATGGTTATACTACTTCGTTCAGGCTGAACGAAAGCATAACAAGTGGAGAAAGATGAAAATGCGGTTGTAAGATTTAGAAGACTTTCCAAGAGAATTTTAGTTTTATTTAATTCTTTGGTTCCTCTTCTATTGAGCTTACGATCTCGTCACTTGGGTAAAAAAAATGTTTTTTGTCATAGAAGTTTTTTTTAAAATAACTTCTGGGGAGAATATCCCAGATAAAAACAAGGGAACTGATGAGGATTGGTGGCTCTTTCCGAAACCTAGGTATTCCCTGCCTTACTCCCTGGTAAACATTACCATAGTTCTCCACTAATAAACAAACGTTGTTTTTATAAAAACAACAATAAAGGGATAAAGCCAGACCATTTTGCAACAACAAGATAATGAATAAATATAATTGTATTGTCACCAAAATC